TCCCCGCCAAATCTCATGTCGAATTGTAATCCCCATGTTGTATGTAGGTGGGGCCTGGCAGGGAGCATTTGGATCATGGGGGTGGATCCCTCATAACTTGGTGCTATCCTCATAATAGTGAATGAGTTCTTGTGAGATCTGGCTGTTTAAGTGTGTGGCACCTTCCCCCACCCACTCTCTCTCTTGCTCCTGCTTTCACCATGTGATGAGCCTACTCTTGCTTTGCCTTCTCTATGAGTAAAAGCTCCCTGAGGCATCCCCAGAAGCTGGACAGATGCCAACACCATGCTTGTACAGCTGCAGAACCATGAGCCAATTAAACCTCTTTTTAAAATAAATTACCCAGTCTCAGGTATTTCTTTATAGCAATGCAAGAATGGCCTACTAGAGATATAAATTTCCTCCCCTTGAATTCCCATTACACTGTCTTCATGTCTCAAACATGACATTAAACATACGCTATGGTTTGGATATTTGTCCCCTCCAAACCTCATGTTGAAATTTGATCCCCAATGTCGGAGATGAGGCTTAATGGCAGGTGTTTTGGTCATGGGAGCGAAACCCATGAATAGATATATGACCTCCCTAGGTAGGGAGTGCTCACTCTATTAATTCCTCAGAGCTGGCTGTTAAAAAGAGGCTGGCATCTCCCTTACCTGTCTTTTGTTTCCTCTGTCACCAAGTGATCTCTACACAGCCGGCTCCCCTTTGCCTTGGCCTTTTGCCATGAGTAGAAGCAGCCTGAGGCCCTCACCAGATGCAGATACCCAATCTTGAACCTTCCAGCCATTCTTAATTGTGAACCAAATAAATATGTTGTCTTTATAAATTACTCAGTCTCTCAGGTAGTCCTTTGCAACACAAAACAGACTAAGGTAACAAATCTTTACAATACAGTTGCAGTGCACAAACACATAATTTATGTGGATTCAAGTCTAAGTAAAACTTAAAGAGAATACTTTAAATTGAAATAGTTCAGTTTTAACTACCAGTCCTGTATCATTCAGGTTCAATCAGAGAAGCAGGACCTGTAAGAGTGATAGAAAATATAGAATTTATTATGAGCACTAGCCCTTAATAGTTGTAGGAGCTGATTAAGTCATCTCTGTCTGGTGTTGGCCTCTGTGTCTGGTGTAAGGCCTAAAGCCAGCAAGGCTAATAGGAAGAAAATATGGTCATGAAATGGGGAAGAATAAGGAAAGATTGGAACTGGTGAGAACAATCTGGAACCCACAAGTGAAATTGCCTTTGCAAAAATTATGACAGTGAGAAAAATCTGACATAGTAAAATTATGGCAGTAAAAGAAATCTGTCCTAATTAACTCCATCTTGCTTCTAACCTCCAAGCTGCCCTTGTTCGTTCCCGGACATAGGCTGAACTAACTAACATGGGAGGAATTTATAGTTCAACTTTGAAACAAAGATGGTAACAGTCCCTCCCTGAAACAAACTTCCTCCTTTCATGGGGACCAGATTGGCCTTTGTAAAACCAACAAATTAGCCACAAGCTCAGAAACCATGGCCTAGGAGTCATGCAGCCAGAGGCCACAAGATTGCTAACCTCCCCAATTGCCCCTATAGATAACATTACTATTGTAAAACCTAAGATTGATGTTTGAGCGACTTTTCTGACCCAGCATTCTGATGGATTAGCTGGCACATCCCAGACTGAAAAACCGGCTCATCTGGTCTTGTGGCCTCCACCAGGAACTGACTCAGCACAAAAGGACAGCTTCAACTTCCTATGTTTTCATCCCTGACCCAAACTATCAGCACTCCCTAGCTCCTTTCCCACCAAACTAAAAAACCCTAGCCTTTGAATTTTCAAGGAGGCTAATCTGAGTAATAAGAATACTCTAGTCTTCCATTTAGCCAGCTCTACCTGTATTAAACTCTTTCTCTATTGCAACTCCCGCATCTTGATAAATTGGTTTCATTCCAGAGGGCAAGAAGAACCCATTGGGCGGTTACACACAGGCAAACTAGATCCTGTGAGGACAAATTGCAGCCTACATCTGTATTTCCTTGCATCCAACTTCAGTGAGGTGAGGGACTTACAGGATTAGGCAGTGCCTTTGGCAACACTGCTGCACATGTACCTGGTCTAAGATTGAGAGAAGCAGAAAGAGGAGATCTGGCAGGAGTTGCAGAGCTGCAGGCCAGGCTGCTGGCCCATGCCTACATGGTGAGCCAGCAGATCAGTGCCTAGCCCCATGATGACCTTTAGGGCTTCAGATCAAATGGCTGCTGCTTTACTTCTGCCTTCCAAATCTCACGCACATTCTCTTTTGACTAACCCTAACCTAGAATCATACAGGAAAGGGAATTCTGGAAAATGTAGTTCTATCTTAGCTAAGTCGACACTCTATGAAGCTACTGCAAGTCTGTTTCTGCATAAATCCTTGAGTAAGCAAGGGACAGAAGATATACATCTGCTATATTTTCAAACTGTCTCAGTTCATGAGTGCGTATCATAGTGTTAGCATGGCACAATGTTGAGTACATACAATTAATTCTATTTGGTTGAATTTTTAGAATAAGACTGCTTTCCTAAACTCTAGCCAACTGTTTCATTACACTTCTCCTGAAGAAAGTGATCTGCACCAGTGTGAGGGGAGAAAGACTGTTTGCATTGGGTCTATAAACTGAGAGATGGCATATGTGGGTCTCTGATATGGTCCCCTCCTAAGAAGGGATTTCTAGAGTAGTTTTCCCACATCCAATTTTCAATTTACACTTTGACTTTGAAACCCAATCCTGATTTTAGAACCTCCTGCAATAAATATTTGTTAAAATGGTGAAAAATGAATTGTGAATTTCTTATCTGTAGGGATTTTCTGGTAAGTGTCTGTATTCCTTTTAGCAACTAGCAAAGTGCTTGGCACAAATTAAGTACTCCATATAGATGTGGGTTAAATTATTTATTGCAAATTTCTATTCTGGTGTTGTAAAATGAGTATTACGCTTTCTTTTTCAGTAGTTTTCCAAGTTGCCTTTAACATAAACCACTTAATATTGTGTGTGCCTTGGGGCTTCGGTAAAAATGACCGCCCATTCAGTGTGGGTTTTGCAAGGCAAGTTGGAGCTTGCAGAAAAGTAAATGTACATTGAAATACTTGGGAAAATTTTGGCCCTGTTTGTTTCCTTCAGTGTTTGCATAAATTCCTACACTCTACCTGTACCTCTCTCTCTTCCTCTCTTTGATAAATTATCTTAAATATTATAAAGTAATTCATGCTCTTGTTAAACAGTAAATAAAGGAGAAAAGTGAATATAAAAGTTCTTGAAATGCCTCCTCTGCCATACACAATTTTGTGTGATTCAAAATTTCACTGTTGATATTTTTTGAATGTATCTTTCCTCAAATATTCCATATATTTACAAAAATATATACGAATATGTATGCATACTTATATGCTTATATTTGAAGGAAACAGGATTACATTACATAAAAATACTATGCTGCTACTGGTTTTTACTTATGATATTTTGAAACTTTTTCAACATCAGCACATAAATGTGCAGTTTTCTTTTAAGTAAACTCTTGAAATGTATTCCAATGTATGTAGTCACAATTTAACCAGTTCCCTATGATGGTCATCTGAGGCTGATTCTAAGAATTAACATTATAAACAATGTTGCATATACATATATCTTTGCATGTATCATGCCAATATAGCCAAGGAGTAAATTTGTAGCGGTGGAAGTACATGGTTTGCCTGGGTTTTGTTAGCAACTGAAAAGTGTATTTTCAGGATATATAATATTTATAGCTCATTAAAAGTTTCTAGTCAACACAGGGTTACACATATCTACACCTCCTCGTTTGTCAAGGGACCTTTGACAAAAGGAAAATAAGACCTTGGAAGAAAAGTCGACAAATTTGTCCTTATTCTTTTAGAGCTTCCTTTAGCCATCTGCAATTCACTGACAATTAGCATCCACCACCATCTCCTGGAACTGAAGACAGCTTTTCTACAGATTAAAAGTATCACTATATTTAATTCAAAATCGAATGCATTGTAAAACAATTATTTTTATAATTCCATTATCTTAATATGGAACAATAATGCTGATATTGCCACTAAAAATTAGCTGCCATTATCTATTAAAATTGATCACATGCATTTCTCATGACCCATGAATCTACCCCTATATACACATCAGAAATGAGTACATGTATCTGTCAAAAGTGTTCTATGAGAATGTTTGCAGCAGCATTATTCCCAGTAGCCTCAAAGGGAAACAACACAAATGCCCTTCAACAGTGGAATGCATAAATTGTGCCATACTCATAAAAAGGAATAATACATAACAGTGTAAATGAAGAAATTATTACCATAGAAACTACGGATGAACCTCATGAACATAATGTGAATTTGAATAGAGCCAGACACAAAGGAATACATAATATATGATTCCAAAGAATCAACAGGAAAAATGAATCTGCAGTATGTGTTGGCTAATGACTGGAGGGGTAATGAGGTGCTGATCTGTGCAATGTGCTAGCATTCTATTTTTTGACTTGGATGGGTTTTGCATAGGTATCTTCAGCTTGTGATAATTATCAGCAGAGGGGAGAGTATGCACACAATTCTTCAGGATGAGACTGGTGACATGTAGAGAAAAGGGAGAAATGACTGTAGTTTAAAAAAAGTCAATTCCCTCCTCCCCACTTCTCCAGCTCTCCATTTCCTAGGAAGAGAGCCCAGGGAAAAGTAAACAAAGAAATAAATTCGAGCTCAAACTCTCAAACAGATCTGGAGACTCAAATATCCATCGCTCTGGGCAAAAGGCATTCCTAGATTTGTCCAAGGTACAAAAACTACCACTCTAACCACGTTTCTTCGCTGCCCGGGGTCAGATAAGTAAAAATCAATTATTTATTTATCTTTAAGTTACTTCCAACCTTGCTTCCTCGAGCTTCCGAATCACCTAGGCAACCTGGAAGCTGCCCATCTAAGGGGGTGAGGTCGAATCCCAGCCTTGACGCCTTAGCAACCGAGCGAGTCTTTCTCGCGTCCCAGCAACGCGCCCGGCCCTTTCCTGTCGGGCCCATTCTCCCTGGTGCCCCTCCCTTCCTCGAGGCTGCCGCTCACCCCTCACTGGGTCTCTCCCTGGTCCGGAGGGCGCGGGTCTGCACACTCTCACTCAGTGCCGGAGAGCAGTTCCTGCGGCTCTTGTGGTGGGAGCTGCCCGAGAGCCAAGGCAGTGGCGAGGGACGGCGAGAAAGAATGTTTAAGTTTATTTAAGAAAGAGGAAAAAAGAGTCAACAGATCCAGGATTTTCGTCATTCTGATTTTTAAGGCACATCCAAAGCTCCGTGGAGAAGGGGCTGGAGGGTGGGAGAATCATTTTTGTATACACTCCATATAAGAGAGAAGAGACCCATCGAAGATTCAGTACGGAGTCACCTGGAAATTGGAGATGTTGGATACGATCGCCCGTGCCCTGCAGGACCTGGGCAGGCAGGTGCTGCCCACTCTGCCCTCGCTGAGCCAGGAGGGTAAGCGTGTTGGGTAGTGGGGGGTGGCCCTGGAGACTGAACCTTCACCTGCTTGCAGGGGAAGCGGGGAGACCCACTTCCCTATTCCCTGGCTCAGGCCTGGCCTGCAAGTGGCTAAGTTGCCTTGACAACCAGCTGGTAATCACATCAGACCCACCCTGGACGCCCAGAGACCCTTTTCTGGTTTTGATTAAACCAGGTGATGCATAGACAGCGCAAAGTAAGTGATCAATAAAGGGACTAGCACAAAGTAAGTGCTCAATAAAGGTTAGGTAAAAACAAGCATTCCCACCCCACCCACTGGGATGGATCACAACCCTTTTGCCTACCTAGAGAAAAGAGGTGCAGAGACCCTAAATGGCTCCTTTTGAGAGTTCCTGCAAAGATGGTTGCTTTTATTGCCTTTGACGTCATGTGGTTGTATTAAGAAAATGAGATGATCATAAAAAGATACAGGGTAAGTACTTTGGAAGGGGACCTGGCACCTTCTCAGAGAAAATTCATTACGCTTGGTTAGTAGCAAGACAAGATCTGTTTTTAGCATCGTTTGTAGAAGAGTCACCCCAAAGTGAGGCTGAGATCTGTCTGCAAACCATAGGAGCACTTTGGAAGAAAAGTGCTGCAGGAATGCAAACTCTTATTATTATCAAACCACTATAACAGAGATGTTGCTTAGGCTTTAACCAAATGACCACAGGAAACAAATACGAACAGATACTTCTTTCTCTTCCCCTGCATCACTCCTATCTTTTCCTCTGAAAATCATCATGAAAGAAGCATTGAAGATAATGGTTTAATGAATTTAAAAACATATGCTATATTTGTAAATTTATATATAGTCATTCAAGTAATTTTGAAACCTTGCTATATGCTGAGCACTAGTTAATTTATGGTGAACAAAAATCTTGGAATTTACTGTTTAGTGGGGAAGATACACATTAATCAAATAATTACACAAATCAATGTAAATTTACCATTTGGGTAAATGCTACCAGGGAGGAGGTAAATGGTACAGTAAGAATTTTTTTAAAAAATGATTTTTTAGAGCAGTTGCAGGTTCACAGTAAATTAAGAAGGAGGGACAATGTATTAGTTTGTTCTTACACTGCTATGAAGATACTATCCCAGACTGGGTCATTATAAAGGAAAGAGGTTTAATTGACTCACAGCTCTGCATGGCTGGGAGCCCTCGGGAAACTTAAAATCATGGCAGAAGGGGAAGCAGGCATGTCTTACATGACGGCAGGAGAGAGAGAGAGAGAAGCCCAGGGGACTAGGGGAAACCGCCATTTATAATACTCTCAGATCTTGTGAGAAATCCCTCACCATCATGAAAACAGCATGAGGAAAACTGCTCTCAGGATCCAATCACCTCCCACCAGGCCTCTCCCTCAACACCTAGGGATTACAATTCAAGATGAGATTTGGGTGGGGACACAAAGCCTAACCGTATCAGATAGAGATGTCCCACATACTCTCTAACTTCACACTTGGATAGGCTCTCCTATTGTCAACATCCCCCACCAGAGTGGTACTTGAGTTACAATTGAACTTTCATTGACACATCAAAATCACCCAAGGTTCATAGTTTACATTAGAGTTCTTTCTTGGTGTTGTACATTCTATGAGTTTGGACAAATGTAAAATGACATGTATTTATCATTGCAGTCATATAGAGTATTTTCACTCCCCTTTATTCTGCCTATTCACCCCTACCCCCAGTCCCAAACTCTGGAAACCACTGATCTTTCCACTGTCTTCATAGTTTTGCCAGTTCCAGAATGTAATATAGTCGGAATCGTACAGTGTAAGCCTTTTCAGATTGGCTTCCTTCACTTAGCAATATGCATTTAATGTTCCTCCATGTCTTTTTGTGGCTTGATAGCTCATTTCTTTTTAGTTCTGAATAATATTCCATTATCTAGATGTACCACAGGTTTTTTTTTTTTTTTTTTTTTTTTTTAAATCTATTCACCCACTGAAAAATGTCTTGGTTGCTTCCAAGTTTTGGCAATGATGAATAAAGCTGCTTTAAAAATCTGTGTGCAGGTTTTAAAAAATTGGATGTAAGTTTTCAATTCACTTGGGTAAATACACAGGGACATAACTGCTAGATTGTATGGTAAGTGGATGTTTAGTTTTGTGAGAAACTGCCAGACTGTCTTTCAAAGGGGCTGTACCATGTTGCATTCCCAAGAGCAATGAGTGAGAATTCTTGTTGCTCCATGTTATTGTCAGCATTTGTTGTTGTATTTTAGATTTTGGTCATTCTAATAGATGTGTGCATTGTTATCTCATTGTTTTAATTTGCATTTTCCTGATGATATATAATGGAGAGCACCTTTTAATATGCTTGTCGTGTTTTGATGATATATATATAAAGGGCTTTGGCTCATTTTTAAATTGAGTTTTTCTTTTCTTAGTGTTAAGTTTTAAGAGTTATTTGTATATTTTGCATGACAGTGTCTTTTGCAAATATTTTTTTCCAGTCTGTGGCTTGTCTTCTCATTCTCTTGACATTGTTTTTCACAGAGCAGAAGTTTTAAATTTTAATGAAGTCCATCTTATTATTTCTTGCTTGGATTATGCCTTTGGTGTTTCATCTAAAGTCTTTTCTATACCCAAGATCATCTAAGTTTTGTCCTATGTTATCTTCTAGGAGTTCTATGGTTTTGCACTTCATATTTAGGTCTATGATTCATTTTAAGTTAATTTTTGTGAAAGATGTAAGGTCTGTGTCTAGGTTCATTTTTTTTTAATTTTTTTGCATGTGGATGTCCAGTTGTTCTAGCAATGTTTGTTTAAAAGACATTCTGCTCCATTGTATTGCTTTTGCTTCTTTGTCATAGGTAAGTTGACTGTATTTATATGGGTCTATTCCTGGGCTCTCTTTTGTGTCCTATTAATCTATTTGTCTATTCTTTTGTCAATAACACACTGTCTTGATGACTCGGCTTTATTGTAAATCTTGAAGTTGGGTAGTGACAGTCCTCTGACTTGTCCCATGTGTTATCTAGATGCATATTATTTAGTCCCCATGTATTTTGGGATTTTCCACTTATCTTTCTCTTATTCATTTCTACTTTAATCCCGTTGTAATCTGGAGCAGGCATTGTGTGATTTCTATCCTATTTGTTAAGGTGTGTTTTATGGCCCAGAACATGGTCTGTCTTGGTCAATGTTCCATGTGAGCTTGAGAAGAATGTGCATTCTACTGCTGTTGGATGAATTAGTCTGTAGATATCAACTATATCCATTTGACAGATGGTGCTGTTGAGTTCAACTATGCCTTTACTGATTTTCTGCCTGCTGGATCTGTTCATTTCTGATAGGTCAGTACTGAAGTCTTCAAGTATGATAATGGATTCATTTATCTCTTCTTGCAATTCTATTAGTTTTTGCCTCATAAATTTGACAACTATTTTTAGGTGTATACATATAAAAAATTCTTATGTCTTCTTGAAGAATTGACCCCCCTATTATTATGTAATGCTCCTTGTTTCTGACAACTCTCCTTGATTTGACAACTCTCCTGTTCTGTCTAAAATTAATATAGCCACTCTTGCTTTCTTTTGATTAGTATTACCACGCTATATTTCCTCCATCCATCTACTTTTAACCTATATGTTTTCAGATTTAGATTGGGTTTCTTTTAGACAACATATAGTTGGGTTTTGTTTTTTGGTCCACTCCAAAAATCTCTGTCTTTTAAATGGTACATTTAGCCTATGTTCAAAGTGATTACTGATATAGCTAGATTAATATCTACCATATTTGTTTTTGTTTTCTACTTTTTTCCCTGTTTTTTTGTATCTATCTTTATTTTCAACTGAGCATTTTATGATTCCATTTTCTCCTTTTTTAGCATATCAGTTATACTTTTTAAAAAAATTGCCTTAGACTACAATATATATTTACAATCAATTCAAGTCCACTTCCAAATAACACTGTACCACTTCACAGGTAGTGTGATTGTTTTATAATAACAAAACCTTAATTCCTTCCTCCCATCCCTTGTATCATTGCTGTCATTCATTTCATTTCACTTATATATAAACATAAATACATATATGAATAAGCATACATAATTGAATAATTATTGCTATTATTGGACAAACTGCTATCTATTAGGTCAGCTAAGAATAATAAAAACAGGTGCAGTGGCTTATGCTTGTAATCCCAGCACTTTAGGAGGCCAAGGTGTGAGAATCACTTGAGTCCAGGAGTCCAGGAGTCCAGGATCAGCCTGGGCAATATAGTGAGACCTTGTCTACAAAAAATTAAAACAAAAAAAGATGGATATGGTGGCACACGACTGTAGTCCCAGCTACTCAGGAGGCTGAGGTAGGAGGATCGCTTGAGAGCCTAGCAGGTGGAGGTTAAAGTGAGCCAAGACTGCACCACTGCACTCCAGGCTGGGCGACAGAGTGAGACCCTGTCTCAAAGAAAAAATAAGTTTTTATTTTACCTTTACTTATTCCTTCTTTGATGGTCCTCCTTTTCTTTCCTTTTTTTTCTTTTTAAATGTAGATCCACGTTTCTGACCTACATAATTTTCCTTTTTTCTAAGGAACATCTTTCAACATTTCTTGAAAAGCAGGTCTACTAGCAATTAATTCCATTAATTTTTGTTTGTCTGAAAAACAATTTCTCCTTTGCTTTTGAAAAATAATTTTACAGGATGCAGAATTTTAGGTTGGTGTTTTCTTTTTATCAACACTTGAAATGTCTTACTGTACTCTCTTTTTGCTTGGTTTCTGAGAAGTAGTTCAATATAATTATTATCTTTGTTTCTCTATAGATGAGGTGTTCCTTCCCCTCCCTCTGCCCCAGCTTCTTTCAGGATTTGTTTTTAGCTCTGATTTTCTGTACTTTGAAAATGATATTCCTAGGTGTCTTTTTTGGGCATTTATCCAGCTTGGTGTTATTTGAGCTTCCTGGATCTGTGATTTCACGTCTGACATTAGAGGGAAATTCTCAGTAATTGTTTCAAGTATTTC